GATTATCAAATGTTAGAATTCTTGTGAATGTTATAAACTCTAAAGTGCTGTTTAATATCAGATATTACTAGTGAAAGGAATAGACAGAACATAGATCCCCTGATGCCATGACAAAGCTGTGCATTATTATAAGGATGGCAGGTATATTATTGGCTGGTGACTAGAATATTTGAAATAGCAGAGAGGTCTCTGCTTGATTTGTTAATTACCTTCATGCTTAGCAATATGTGGTAATTCTGCCTAAAAGGTCAGAGAGGAGGATTTTGAATGGTTCCTGATTGCTCACCCTCTCTTTTCTCCTTATTTGTTCTCAGTCCTCCCCTCCATGATAAGTATTCTACCCTAAGTCTAATTGTTGTCACCCTTAGCTGTTGAATATTACTTGTCATGTCACCCTGATGGTTGTCTTTGCTTGGGTCTGACAATTCAGTTGTGAAAGGGTCGAGGTTGGGTGTGGTGGCTCACACCTGTAATCCTAGTACTCTGGGAGGCTGAGGTGGGAGGATCACTAGAGGTCAGGAGTTCAAGACCAGCCTTAGCACCATAGTGACAGCCCTGACTCTACAAAAAATATAAAAATTAGCTGAGCATGGCGGCACATACCTGTAGTCCTAGCTACTCAGGAGGCTGAGGCAGGAGGATCACTTGAGCCCAGGATTTGAGGTTGCTGCGAGCTATGATGATGCCACTGCACTCTACCTGGAGTGACAATATGAGACTGTCTCAAAAAAAAAAGGGTTGAGATTTGAGGACCAGTTTGGGGTATCTTGCCTTATCCTCGCCATTGTGTTCCTGTACATTCCTGTCCTTAACACTGTAGCATGAACCACTTGCTGCTCTGATTGTAATGCTAATTTCCCTGTATGTCTCTTTCACCAGAATGTGTTTTTCTTAGTGGAAGGATCCCTCAATACCCAGCAGAATGCCTGGCACATAACAGGAGCTTCATGAATATCTGTTGAATGGCTGTTGTCATCAGATCCATGGCTGTGTTAGTAATGTGAGCCTGGAGATCAGGTTTACTTGGGATCTGGGAACTGAAAGGCAGAGATGTTTCCAACCATGGCTTAAGTATTTTCTTTTATACTGTGTAACCCATATGGGAAGCTTCAGAGGCTACCATACTGTTAAGCCACTTATAATTCAATTTTTTATTGCTGGCAAATGCCAAAACCTATAATCTGAAGGCTCAGCCCAACTCCAATTTTTTAGCCAAAACAGCACTGGTTAAGAGCTTTTCATTTGCTGAGTTTGAGTTCTAGATCTGTCATATTCTAGCAAAAGGACCTTGGATAACTTAATCATGTGCCCAATTTCATCATGTGCAGAATAGAGATAACAATTCTATGAGAATTGATTAAGATCATACATAACAATGTGTGGCTCATGGCTGGTGCTTAACAATTGTCAATTTGTACCATTGTATTCAATTTACCCAACAAAGAGAAGACAATTCAAAGGCATAAGTAAGTGCTCAATTAAAGGCAGCCAGCACTTGTCATTCCTGAAACTTGCTCTGTGCTTCCTACCAGTGACCAATCTTATTATTTCTTAGCATGACTAATACATTACCTAGCATAGTGCTGGCATGTAGTTGGATATGTGAATTAATTAAATGCCAGTCAGGATTGGCTCACTAAATCTGCCTGTTCCTTTTCCATTTTGAACCTTCTAAGTATTAATCCATTTGGTGGGCATTAGTAGTGCATGTATCAGGTTGTACTTGTGGTACAGAGATGAATCATGGTCTCTGCTTCTCAGCAGGTCACTGTGTAACAGAGGGGGCAAAGATGCAAACAAACAGTTATAAATTAGTGTGATCTTTGTCTTAATGGAAGCATCATTTAGAGGCATTGCCCAAAAACACTGTGCCCAAGAGAGGGCATCCTGCAGTTCATGTAACAAAAAGGTTTAGTGTAAAGCAGTGGAAGGTGACAATTTGTGGAGCCCAGACTCAAAGAGAGTACACAGTATTATTTGAGTTAAATTAGTCTAGATAACTTAAATGGAAACATAGTTTCTGGAGGAAAAAAGGCAGCACAAAATAGTTGAATGTAGAATATGATGCCAACTTAGGCTAAATTCCCATAGCCTAGAGAGATAGGAGACTAAAAGGACATGTGAAATGGAAAGACCATAGGGCAAGACACCATAAGGGAAGGAAGCAGGTCTGACTCATTCAGCACTCTATCCCCACCACCTAGAGTAGGGCACTAACACACAATAGGGGCTCAAATATGTGTTGAATGAACTTTCACATCGGCTCACGTGAATAGTTCCATCTGACACAGGCTTTCCTCTGGCAACTGCATCAAGCAGCATTTTAAAGGGGGGCACAGTGGTTGCCCTCCATGTTAGGAAATACAAAAGCCTAGCAATGCACTCTGAACATCCCTATTTCCCTTAATAGCCCATTATGCTCATGCCAGCCGTGATGCATGATGCAAATGTGACTCCAGAGTCGTATGGCCATGAGTACCACTGCCTTGGAAGTGTATCTGAGCTGCTACAAGAGGCATTATTTTTTTTTTCTCTCACTGCTACAACTGCCAGAAGACATGTTTAAATCATTACTTGAAATTCCTCTCCCGACCAAACCTCTTCCCAGAGCTGTTAACGAGAAACAAAATGTGCTGACTTGAGTTTCATTCTCTCCTTTTCCTCCTGCCTTTCCCTTGTGGGACCCCCAATGAATCATGAAACAGCTTTGGTCAGGTAACAGTAAAAGGAGCAAAGAAAGAATCTGAGTATTCGCCAAACACACACAGAGACTGTGCAGTGTAGTTTTGCCAAGGGACATGACCCTTGAAATAATTGGCACCTATTTCAATCAACTATGCATCTCATAGCCTTCTGACTTTATTATTTTGAGTTATTCATTTTCAAGGAAACTATAATTGTTGCTTAGTTGATAAGTTATGAAGTAAACTGGGAAAACACACTTCTAATTCTCAAGCCAACTCTTTCAGGGCCCACAAAAATGACATAAATGGATTCTGATGTTGCTTCATTTCTGTAGAAGGGTGTTTTTTATACTGTGTTCTTCCATCAACATGGCAAGTACAGATTGCACCTTAAAGCTCTCATCTAGTGCTGGAGTTTCCAAACAGAATGGCTTTCATGAGGAAATGACTTTAGAAAGGAAAATAAAAGAAAGTGATTTCTCTGGGGCTAAGCACAGGGAGAGAAGCATGCTTCTTTTCATGACTTGTGAGGCATGCAGAGGACAGCTGGCAAGGCCCTGATCACAGAAGCTGATCCCTCAGGGGAAACTGGGTAGTCCCAGATCCAAAATTCATCCACAGACTGGGACAAAATGTGGACTTGGGTTATACAGAACTCCATGAATCAGGGCTCAAATCAACCCATGACTGGTGTTATGGGTTGAATTGTGCCCTCCCCCAAATTCGTGTTGAGATCTTAAACCCTAGTACTTTAGAATGTGATCTTGTTTGGAAATATGATTGCAGATGCAATTAATTCAATTGAGATGAGGTCATACTGGAGTAGGGGAGGCCCCTAATCCAATATGACTGTTGTCCTTAGTAATAGGGGAAAATTTGCACACACACACACACACACACACACACACACACACACGGAGAACACTGTGTGAAGATGAATGCAGAGATTGAAGTGATGCTTCTATGTGCCAAGGAATGCTAAAGATCTCCAGCAAACCACCAGAAGCTAGGGGAGAGCATGGAACATTCTTTCTCACAGCCTCAGAAGGATCCAACCTTGCTAATGCCTTGATCTCAGGTTTCTAGCCTCCAGGACTGGGAGACAATAAGTTTATGTTGTTTAAGATATCCTGTTTGTGGTACTTTGTTACAGTAGCCATAAGAAATGAATACAGTTAGCAATGGGAGTTAGGTAGTAGGAAAAAAACCCAACCAACTAAACAAACAAACCTGAAAACAAGGACCCCATGGTTGATGTGACAAAGCGTGTTTCTTCCTAAGCATTTATATAGGATTCTCTGAGAGAAAGACTTGAACCATCACCTGAGGCTAAATTCCCTTATTCTAGGGAACTCATATCTATTCAGTCATAGTATCATATCTCTGGTTATGATCATAAAAGGACATGAGAAATGTAAAGATAAGCTAGAGAAGTCAGAGCCCTAGCACAGAGCCAGGGTTTTGCTTGATGGCTTCATGCAGAGTCAGACCTTAGCAGCTGTGTGGGAGCACAGGCAAAGGACGGGACACTTCCACCCAAGCAGGTGAAAGTGGACAAGAAATAGGCGGGGTATCCTGGTCCAAACCCAGGAGGCCATAGTCGGGGGCCAGATTCATTCCCAGGGACCTGAAATGTAAGCCAAGGGTGGGACACCACTGTACCTTTGCAGTGACAGAGAGGGGCTTAGGGCTCATACCAGGATGCCCAGATACAAGGTCCATCATGCCAAAACCATGCCAAACCTTGGCCACTTGTTGGGTTAAGCTGGGTATAAACTCTTTGTTGGCCCTGGATCTGACTCAGGAACTGAGCAAAACTGAAACTGCTGCCAAGGGCATGAGTGCTGCTTGGTGGGAATGATCTTGGAAAACAAGGGCTAATACTGTCAGGGCATGTCATACACTGATTGTATGTAGGGGGATACATCTGAGTCATCAATAGATGAAGAAATACACTATATATATTTTACACATGTTAAAAATTTCATAAATATATATTATATTGTGAACACTTGGTCAGTTTCTAAGGTCCCACGCAAATATCTTATTACTTTGTGTTTTAATTACTCCTCTCTCTTCCATCAGAGACAGAGGGCATGCCTCATTCATCTTTAATTAGTGCTGTAGTTGCAACATCTAGAAGATATTCTAAGAATGCTTGTTGAATAAACGATAAATGGACTCTCGGCAAGTGAGCATATCCCAGACACAGGAAGTCAGAGGATACGTAGCTTGGAGAAAGGAAGATGGACAGGCTGGCAGTCCATGTGAAAGTGTTTTGTAGCAGAGAATGGGACCCTGCCTAGGGTCAGGGTTCAGTATCATGTCCTGCCTTGTGGCCTTTGAAAGACATGGACAGATCTGGGACATGGCTGGGTCTACAACAGGAAGGTACTTGGGAAGGAGGGAGCGCCAGGAAACCAGAGTTTCAGGGCCAGGGTTAAGTTAGAAAGAGAAGCAGTAAATTAAGCAGATGACAGCAAGTTTGCCCCCCACATTGCTAAACTTGATTCTAAGAACTAGAACCAGACAGATGGTGGATCTAAAATTCCAGTGAAGCAAAGCTGAGTTAAGAACCAGAGATCTTCTACGTCTGACAGATAGAATGGATAAAAAATCAGAAAGTAGACAAACATGCTGAATATGTCGTATTCCTCTTTCAGATTTCTTGGAGTGTTCCAGGCATATAAGCCTGTCATGTGATTCATGACTGCAAGATGTCTGAAGGTCTAGAACTTCTGCTATTTATAGTCATGACTCCAGGCCCTGGGAAACTTACTTATTCACCATTCATTCAACACATAATTGGTGCCCATTTGAAGTTCCAAAAACTGAACTAGGTGCTGGGAATTCATAGATCTGATCTCTGGCCTCCAGTGACTTTAATTCTAATGAGTAGACTGATTTAAAAAAGGAAAATAAAAAGTAAACAAGCTAATAATTATAAATTCAAGCTAATAATTACAAATTATGTCTTATTAAGAAAGAAACAAATGCACACTAAGGGTTTATTTGAAAGACAGTGGAGAAGTCAGCACGGCTAGAACCCAACAAGGGTGGTAACACATAAGATGAGTAGTCAGGGGATTGATTGACTACAGTTGGATAGGCCATGGCTGGAAGTGTGGATTTTATTTTCATGCAATGAAAAGTATTTGAAAGAGTTTTTTTTTTTTTTAAATGAAAGCTATAATTTATTTGTAAACAGAGGAGATAAGGTTGGATACCCATCCCCACTTCCCCCCCCCCCCAAAAAGGGCAACATCCCAAGGTGTGAGGGGTTGAGTCTCTCTCCTAGGTGCTGAACAGCACCAGGCACTGGCTGTACAAAGCCAGAGTGAAGGTTATGTGGCAGCTCTCTTTAAACCTGCCCACACAGAGTGCTTCATGCCCTGTGCAGCCTTCACTTCTTCCCAGTCCAGTTTGACGTCTGGAACCTCATCTTCTGGCTCTGGATCCTTTCTCAAGGCTCCCTGGGGGGAGGCAACCACAATGGGCAGAGGACCACATTCCTCCCGGAATGCGACAACATGGAGACCCTTCTTATAGGCCAGCTGTTGATGGGTTTCCGAAAGATTTATGGATGAAACAAATGATGTCTTAGATTTGGTTTAAAACAACTGAGGCTGGGTAGAGGGGTTTTGATACTGACAAGACTGATCATGAACTAGGTGAGAGGGCTGTGGGAATTCATTATAGAGTGTGGCCATTGAGGTCTGTCGGGAGAGCCCACGGAAGAGGCCCCGGGTGAGGTTGACCATGTTGACAGAACCAGAGACCTTGGCATACATGTCTTTGATGCCAATGAGCCGGCAAATGGTGGTGATGGCCCTGTGGCAGCGGAGGCCGTGAACTCTGGGTTGTTTCTTCATCTTGATATATGTCCTTTTATATCTTAAAGAAATATCATGGAATATCGTACGGTCTTCATATCATTCTATGTAATGCAAATAGTGAATTGCTTTGTTCTTTGCTTTTCTGAAAGCATCTATCCATTCAGTGGCTTTCCCAATGGCAAAACCTGCCGCTCCTTTTCCATTCCCCACAGCAACCAGGACCCGGACTGATTTCTTTCTTCCCTCTTTTGCTGTCATATTGAAAACATTTCTCACCTCAAGTATCCTGGTATCAAAATCCTCATATGTTTCTCCATTGGGACCAGGGTCAGGAGGGCCAAGACTGACGCCGCCCCATGAATTCCCGCTCCATCCTCGCTCCCGTTTAACCTTCATCTTCCTCTTCCGTTCCCACTCTTCTCTCTGCTGTATTATGTCAGCCTCCACCTTCTCCTGCTCTTCCTTGCTTCTTTGGGCAATGGTCTGAACTGCTCCATTTTTCATAAGAGGAACATTCAGACCAGGCCACAGGAAACCACGACGCCCTTCACCAATGATCTGACCCCTGTTCAAATCCTTTCTTCTCTTTTTCTTAGTTCTTTTGCCTCTTCATTTTCTTGCTCCAGCACCACTCTCTGCTAGAGCACCTTTCCATAGCTCATCTGCTGTCAATTTAGTGAAGAAACTATATAGTCTGTACTGCTGACCCATCAAATCACTGGGAGAAGAAATACAGCACTGTGCCTGCAGTGCGTGGCTCAAGCTGGTGTACTGACGGTTGTCTCTGGTTGCCAGCAATCACAAAGGACCATTGCTGAGAGTGGGCTTCAATACCAAAATGGAAGTTGCTGGACAGGCATTTAGAGAAAGCTGCCTGGTCCATAAATGAACCGCAGACCCGCCGCACAGCGCAGGGAAGCGGCACACAGAGCGCACTGCGGCCGCCATGCTGGAGCCCGAGCAGCGTCTCAGCCTCCGACCCGGGCCGCCTTCCCCACCGCCTGCCGCGACTGCTTCTCTGAAAGAGTTTATGATTTGGAGAGTGGCATGGTGTGACTGAGGCGTCAGGAAGATCCTGTGGAGAAACTGCATTACAGGGGCAAGATGGAAGAAGAAGATGAGTTAAAAATTTATTGCAGGTCTTCAGGTAAGGATTGGGGTTAACTTGGACCAGAGTGGGAGTGAGGGCAGGAAGTGAGTTGGCACAAATGGAGACAAGGTCCCAGGCTTGGAGGACAGAGGTCACTTGATGCTATGGAGATCTATGCTGTTGAAACAAAGCATCTTGGCAAACAGCAGGATGTGTCTTAGTGCTCTTAGATTGGAGTGGGTGAGTCCAGAATGACTATGTGGTTTCTCTGAAAGAATGATGCAGGGGTGGGACATCATCCTGCAAAATTTCATGTTAACTAATGCTTCAGTTAGAAAGGGCTAAAGAAAAGTAAGTGCCTCCCTAGGTGGTTGTTAATTTTTTTTTAACAAAATCCATTTAGAGATCTTTATTGCTATTTTTCCTAGGTGCTAGGAGGATCTGAAATTTAGAGTGCTCTTGATAATAGTTCTAAATATTTTCCTCTTAACTCATATTTCTTGTTGCTTTTTTTTTTTTTTTTACTCTCCTGTGTTTCTTATTCATTTTAAGGCTCATTACTCATTATGCAGTTTTCTGAACATTTTTGTGCTCTTATAATATGGTGGTGATTCTGGAAACACTTCTGAGTCCTCATAGTCAAGAGCCATAGGAATGGGTGACTTCACACTTTCATCTCTAAAAATTAGGTTCAATGCATCTTTCACTTAAAGTATGTAAAATTATGATTTGGTCTTACTTTTGATTTATAAATTCCAACATGAACCATATTATGCTAAATGTGGATTATTTACTTACCAAAGTCTCAGTAAAGCTTCAATGGAAGATGGAGGCTTTCTTGGGTCTCTTTGTTTCTCTGTCCTATTGCCCCCAAATCTGGGATATTAGTGCTTACTTTACATATGCCATCTAATTGAGTTTTTCTGTGCACAGAGGCTGCTATTATCCCTATTTTATAGAAAGGGAAAACAAGGCTCAAGAAAAGTATATAACAGCCTGAGCTAACCTAGTTAGTAAGTAGTAGCATAAGATAAAAACTCAAGGTTCGCTGACTCCAAAGTGCATGTTCCGTTTACGGGCTCTTGTTATTTCTCTTTTGAGGTTGCAGATTTTGGTTTCTGTAGTCATGTTTCTCATCCTTGCCTTGTTGAGCTGCTGGGAGGACAAAGAGACAGTGCTCTGCACATAGCCAGATTTCTTGCCTTTTCTTCCTCTCCCGTCGCCTACTGTGCTCTTGCTCTATACCTTATGACCTGAGCATCTCCTAACGTGCCTGTGTTGACCCTCTTCCACCTGCCAGGAACGCTGCAGCCCCAGTGTCTACCTGCAGTGGTTTTCATTCTTTAAGACTCAACATCAATGATACCTTTTTGGTGAAGCTTTCCTGGATTTCCTTAAGTACTGCTAGTTTAGCTCTTTTCTGTGATTGCAACCCTTTGTGCATACCTTTAGTAAAGAAAGCTTTATTTCACTGTTTCAGTCAGGACTCAAACTTAAGCCAATGTGGGAATTTAGGATTCAGAAACTTAAAACAGTTTAGGAGTAAATCCAACTTCAGGTAAGCTTAGCTCCACATTTTAAACTGAAATCTGTAGGACTGTGTCTTGCTCCAGCTCTGGGCTCTGCTTTCTCTGTGTTGGCTTTATTCTCAGGTTTTTCCCGCGTGGTGGGAAGATGGCCACCAGCAGCTGGAGGCTTGCACACTGCAGCTTAGCAACTGTATTAGGGCTGCCTTAACAAATTACCACACACGGGTGGCTTGAGACAACAGAAATTTATTCTCTCACAGGTGTGAAGCCAAAAGTCTGAAATCAAGGTATTGGCAGGGTTGGCTTCTTGTGGAGGCCTTAAGGGAGAATCTATTCCAGGCCTCCCTAGTGTTGGCGGCTGCCAGCAATGCTTGGCGTCTCTTGGCTTGCAGCTGCATAACTCCAGTCCCTGTCTCCATGGTCACATCACCTTCCCCTCTGTGCATTTGTTTGTTCCTTTTCTGTTTCTTATGAGGACACTCATCATTGGATATAGGGCTCACTCTAAATCCAGGATTATCTCATGTTGAGTTCCCTACCTTAGTTATATATATAAAGACCCTTATTTCAGATAAGTACACAGTCTGAGGTTCCAGGTGGACATATCTTCTGGTGGGGGAGGGACCATCCAACCCACTGTAGGAACTTCAGTGGAAAATGTGTGTGCTACTTCTATTTGTTCCAGCAGAAGTCCCAGGCTTGGCCACCACTGTGCACCAGGTGACAGTTCATTACTGAAGTCAGAAGGCGCTATTCACTTTGGCCATGCATGGGGTATATGCCCATCTCTGGGGCTGGGGAGAGGAAGGTGGTTCCCACTTGAAACATAATCAAAGCCACAGAGAGGGGGGTCATTCCTCAAAGATAAAATGAGGTGCTTTTCTAGAGCAAGGAGAAAAGGCCTGCCTAGCAGGCAAACCACACAGATGTTCCCTGCACTTGTTGTGTGGGGTGAGTCTATTGACATTTTGTCTTCTACCCAGACTGTGACCTTCTCAGGGGTATTAGCAACCTGGTCTTATTCATCAGTGCCTGAGGCATGAAAAAAGCTCTATCAACATATGTTAAATCAAGTTACAGTATTAAAATTCTCTTGAAAAATAGGATCTAAATGTAACCATGGATCATAATAGTTGTCAAAAATAGTTTTGGTCTCCCTCTAAATGACAACAAGCAAATCAGTTTAAAGGACAAAAGAAAAAAAAAAAAGCTTCTGTTGGGGGATTCCCTTGGACTTTGAAAAGTCTCTGCATTCTATCCTTCCTCTATCAGCTGTACTTTGTTGGAAACCAAAGGAATTAACCCCGGGCCCTCATGTTTAGTGAGGGAGCCATGTCTGCCTACGCAGGAGTAGGTAGAAATAGTAGTAGGTAGGTCTGTGGCAGGATGTAGACTCTGCCCAGCAGCAACACCACCAATTCAGTCCAATTAGTGAAAATAGCACAAATCACATAGCAGCCAGAGAGCTGCTCTAATAAGGCTTCTCAGGAATGGGCCTGTTCTGACCACCAGCTAATTGGACAGCAATCAGAAGAGCCCAGGCAAAGGAAAGAACTAGATATTTTGTTTGGCTGTAATAAACATAGGATGAATACTCTATTTTTGAAGAAGATATTTTAATTCTTTTTATGGTTTCTAAATCAATGACTTTTTCATTTCTTCATTAAAAAAAATGGAATTCTCTATGCGACTACGATGAAGCACAGAAGCCGTGTGTATTCTGTGAGTTTTGAAGGGGGAAAAGCTCTCTGGGGAAGCCCTATTATTAAGAGCTGTCTTAGAAAATGTAAATGTAATTGGCATGTTGAACAGTAGCTCCACAGTACAACCTCTTTATTTTAAAATTGCAACTTCTTTATTTTATGCATTTCACTTTTGTTCTGGTAAAAACTCTAAATATGAGATCTGTCCTCAACACATCTTTAAGTGCACTGTACATTATTGTTGACTGTAGGTACAGTGTTGTACAGCAAATGTCTATAGCTTATTTGTTTTGCTTAACTGAAACTTTGTGTCCATTGATTCGTAGCTCCCATTTCCCTCTATCATAGTCCCTGGAAACCACCATTCTGCATTTTGATTCTATGAATTTGATACCTCATATAAGTGGAATCATGCAGTATTTGTCTCTCTGTGACAGGTTTATTTCACTTAGCATAATGTCCTCAAGATTCAACTTATTTTTTTTCAGAAACTTCTTTATTTTTCTATTTCCTATTGATTCTCCACATGTGATGGTCTAGGACCGCTCCCCTCCAATCTTTAAGATATCTTGGTCTCATATTCTTAGTCCTCTGGTCACTTCTAAATATATGAAATTTATTAAACTGTCCAATCTTGTGTAATAAAACTTTGAAATTCAAACTGAAAGTTTCTCCCCTTCCTCAGCTTAGGGCTGCTTTAGGCTGGACCCTGCAGTGGAGAAGGGGTTGGGGCAGAGCTGGCTTCTCCTCTGCTGCCCCTTCATGTTCTTTCTCCTCCTACCCCAGCTGCAGGTCCTGTATTAACAACCTGTTGCAGTTAAGGAAGCACCAGTGGCAGAAGTATTCCTGGTGTGGGATGGCTATAGTGCCTGTCTTTAACTGGAGCTGTTCTCTTCTCCACCCCTATTTATTCTTTCCCTTGGAGAAACTTTGATTTTCTCCCTGGCTTTTGGCATCAGGCCCTCCATGTGGGCCAACATATGCTTCAGGTCTTGATCTCAGCAGCATGAACTTGTGGGTTCAGCTTTTCTCTCCTTTGCTTGTAAACAGCAAGCTGGAGGTAGGAATTGATTAATGAAGGTGAACCATAACCCTGGTTTCTTTTATTTATGCTACAACAGGAGATGCCCCTCGGTCACACTCAAGGAGATATACTCTACATTGGCTATGGGCACAGCACTGTGATAGGCACTAGGGAGGGACAAAAGGTGATACAACAGTCACCCTTAAAGAGCTTAGAGCCAAGATGAGAAAATAATTGCTGTACATACATGCCATGAGATATGCAGGTGCAGAGGAGGAAGTGATTGGTTCCAACCAGGGATGTTACTGGAGGGCTTTCTGGAGGGGCAGCCAGGCTAAGTACTGAAGGAAGAGAAGATGCATGTAGATGGAGATCTGGGAGACAGATAAAAGCATTAAAAACAACATGTGCTTCATAGAGTTAAAGACTTTCATTTGGTGAACACTAAAGATTTCCTTGGAATTTGAATACATAACTTTCTCCAATTATAAAAAAAATAGTGTGCTTCCTCTGGCATGAATGCCTTTGTTTTTTTTTTTTCCCCCTCCTCTCTTCAATTTTATGATACAGAAGGACCTGCTCCATTGACAAGATTTCTATTTCTGGGTTCCCAATGTCTTGGTATGCACTTTCATCTCATGCCTTTTCCCAGTTCATGGTGATAGAGATTGGTCACTCAGTTAGCAGTCTGAATATCATTGTTATCAGAGCTATGGTCTTCCTTCCACCAGCATTCGGTAGCAGTGACTCCTAAACAGAGACCAGGGCGGGTGGGTAAGTTAG